TTCAAACAAAATGGTGTTTCTGAACGTTGTTGACATCTGGCTTCTACTGTGCATAGTACGGTCTTAATGTGGATTTGTGGATGCATCAATGAACAGTGCCTATTGACACACAGCAATGTTTAATGCAGAAACCACGTAAGTCACTCTGTAATTGTAATTGGCTGAGATAATACTAGCCTGGGGGATTTTAATGTTATGTTAGCATCAAGCTAACATTTGATGTTGACTCCTTCAGTAAACATTTTAAACTTAAAGCCTGTTCCTGAATATTACTGAAGCCCGTTAGCTTGGTTACATTCCAGACTCTAGTGAAGAGAGAATATAGTCCAGATAGTCCATATCAATGAAAAAGTGTCTGCGGAATCAGTCACTAACACAGAAATGCAGTGTTCTCCATATGTGACATGAGGCCGCTATTTTACACTCTCCTGTTCATCAGTCATCTGTATGTGAAACTGCAGCTGGCAGAGTGGGTGTTGATATCCAAGTAGGGTGGAATGTTTGCTCTAAGTGATGCAGAATTGAGCAGTACATTCTAACAGCCTGTAGAATCACATGCTTTCCGTGTTGCGCTGGTCTGAGTGGATCAGACACAGAAGTGCTGCTGGAGTTTTTAAACACCTCAGTGTCACTGCTGGACTGAGAATAGTCCACCAACCAAAAATATCCAGCCAACATCGTCCTGTGGGGGTGCGTCCTGTGATGAAGGACTAGAGAATGACCAACACAAACTGTGCAGCAGCAGATGAGCTATCGTCTCAGACTTAACATCTACAAGGAGGACTGACAAAGTAGGAGTGTCTAATAGAGTGGATAGTGAGTAAACACAGTGTTTAAAAACTCCAGCAGCACTGCTGTGTCTGATCCACTCAGACCAGTGCAGCACACACTAACACATCACCACCACGTCAGTGTTACTGCAGTTCTGAGAATGATCCACCACCCAAATAGTACCTGCTCTGTGAGGGTCCATGGGGGTCCTGACCACTGAAGAACAGGGTAAAAGGGGGCTAACAAAGTATGCAGAGAAACAGATGGACTACAGTCTGTAATTGTAGAACTACAAAGTGCACCTATATAGTAAGTGGAGCTGATAAAATGGACAATGAGCATAGAAACAAGGAGGATGTCATAATGTTATGCCTGATCGGTGTATGTTATATGTAGAGTACTATATTAACTTTATTATACAGTCATTTAATCCTTTTTGTTAAGGGTCATGTCTGAAATGATATTTTAAAGTTTGTGTTTTAGAATTCAGAAACCAATTTAACAAGTATAGCAGGAAACAGCTCATGTGGGTTATAAAAAAAGTGTTGTTTGTTTGACATACACAACAAGCACAAAAGACAAAACAAGTTGTAGTTAGAGACTAAGGTTAATTACACCCCCTCATGAAATCACGTTTTGTCAATGTTCTAAATGAAAATAGGTCCATCCTCCACAGAAAACACACTTTAACATGCAATTTTTCTGAAAATATTAGTGCACAGTTTCTGTTTATTTGCTAAGCTTAACAAATTGAAAAAAAAATAAAACATAAAATATAAAATGCACCATAATCTCTGCACAGGCCACATTTTATGCTTTATTTTTCCACTATGCTACATTCAGCAATTAAACAGTAACTGTGCATTAAAATGTGTAGAAGTGTGTTCTCTGCAACAAAACAAGCAATTTGAGGAGGGCGCACAAACTTCTGCATACAACTATATACATATGCACAGACTAGTTAATGTAGGCTAACTGATAATGTAAGAACTTTGCTATTGGAGACGTCTACAATACCGTTAAGCTGCAAGTGCATAGAAAAAAACATTAAAATATGTAGGGCACAAGTAGGCCAGGACCAGGATTAGGAGCCTCAGGTATGAGCTGGTGTTCATATCCTGCTCACACTAGTACATGTTTTGCTATCTAAAAACTACCTAATAACTTGTCATAACTGCTGCTTGTCAAGACCTTGTGTCTCAAAACAGGAGAAGAAAGAAAAACTTTCTTCACTTTGATCAAAATCAGAACCAGAACTAGAGTCACTTTATAAAAACAGGATAAACACAATAAAGAATAAGAAAGGATGATAAAGAGCCAATTTGAAAGGAGCTGAAGAGATGTGTGAATATCTGTACATATGCAAGTCTGACAAGACATAATATAACTATTAGATACAGAAAACTACAGAATGATATAAACCTTTGTAAAAAAATTGATATAAATGAACATTAATGTAATAAAGTTTTTATTTCAAACAATTTTGGACCACTCTATTAGATCATCCATCATGAAATGTTATGAAATGTTTTTTTTTTTAAATAAATAAATAAATAAAATTATATGACAGCAACAACTTGAAGTCTGAATCTGCTTTTGAATTAGCGAGAAACATGAAACATGTGTCGATCTCATGTTAAAAGTGCTAAATAGGCCAATGTATCATATTACTGAGGGGCCTCATCCTAAACTTCTCGTGGTCTAGACAATCACGTTCCATATGTGCTTAAGCTAGCATATTTTCAGGCACACCCAGACATGCTTCAGGCCTGTCTAGCATCTGGAAAATAACTATGTTAGAATGTAAGAGGCAGTTCAGCTCTAATTCAATCTAACTCTCTTTACTGCTGTAAATGTCAAATCCAGCTGTACAGATTACATCGCATAACACATGCAACAAGAAGATACCATTTACAATTATCTTTGGTATATCTCTCTTTCTTTTTAAATCATTTCATCCTTATATTTCAAAGAATATATGTGAACCACCTAATTTGCATGATTAAAGAGTTCCTTACATCATGAAATGCTTCACCTTCAGGGACCTATATAGCACCTAAAAGGGTTCTTGTCAAGCTTGTAACAATAGAGGAACACTTTTTGGGTTCTTTTTTGTAATGACACTTTGTGTCTTCTTTACTAAAGAATCCTTGAAGAACCATCTTCTTAAGAGTGTACAATTACAGTAAAAAAGAAGTATACTACATAATTAGTTTACAGTATTTTCATGTTAAATACATTTGGATGGTTATGTAGCTACATGTGAATTCACAATAAATTACTGTGAAGTTTTTTTCCAAAGGAGGTTAAATTGTCCTACAAGCATGTGCAAGTTTTTTTAGAAGCTAACATTTATGGAGCAATTTCATGTGAATTGTACACGTGTGTACACACACAAGTAACATGGTATTTCTTGACAAAACCTACACCAGCCAATCTATTAAAGGGGAATTCCATAAATCATTCAAAATTTCTGCTTAGTTCAATTGTTGAGATGTGAATATTATTCTGAGCAGTTTCAGGTGAAATGGCTTGATGCAGAGAAATTCCCAGACTCTGATTTCTTTACAGTGATGATGATAAGAACCAGGGGTAGGGATGTCCCCAATATAAATACAGCCATTTTGTTTACTATATTTGCCTTCTGAGAGTTTATATGTAATGTGTCTTCAGGTACTATTCTGCTGTACGACACCTTGTGTGTGACTCTCTGCAGTGCATGCATTCAAAAGTACATTTTAGTCCAAAGGTTTCTCATAAAACTATTATAAACCAATGTATTTGTCACAGTTTCATGTTGTTGTTTTCATCTGGTTCTGCTACCACCGCTGTTAACAATTCTGACTTGGCAAGTTTCTGTAGAAAGGTGCATTTCAAGTTCACATGTTTGAATGACTGTTTACATTATGATTGACTTATGTATATGAGAAATTCCCCTAAGAATGCCCTGGGAAGCTGCTGTAAGTATTAACATGCATGTGATTGTGTTGGAACATCAATGAAGTAAAAAAATTCATTGAAAAAAATATTAACCAATGGATATAATTTTTCGGTGTTTGCTTATTTAATAGGCACAACAGCATTATTCATTCCCATCGTATACACACAAACAGGCTCTGAAATCCTTACCCTCATTATCAAAAGAGAAATGGCAGGACTTCTCCATTTTAAAACAATGGCCTGTATTCACAAAGCTTCTCAGATTGGGTGTGCTGATGTAGGATCTGATCTCTGAGTAAGACCATCATAAATAAGGCATGAATCTGATCCTAAGTCAGCACTTCTACTTTAAGAAGCTTTGTGAATGTGGGCCAATGTTTCTATGTATTTACCAAGTGACATCTAGAGGCCAAGAGTGGCAGTTTTTCTACTCCAGCAAGCATTAACACATCATTGAATCTAGTGTTGCTTAAAGTATTATATAATATCCATCATACAAATAGTATGTTTTTTTTTGTGGTTCCTTATTCATAACACTGTGACTGTATCTTTATATTAAGAGACATAACTGAATCTTGAGTGAACGTTATATATTGTTTGTAATTATGGGCCTAAGTATTAATTAGCTTATTATACTAGAATATTTTATTTTTATATTCTAGAATTTTGTACTACGTGCTGTTCAAATATGATTTCCTTTATGCATTTCATATTCCAACTGGTTGTGGATCAGATCATGTCTTTGAATTATAGATTTCAAAGAGATTCCAACATGTACATCATTAGTCTAACAGTTGTTAATTATCAAAGAGCCTAGTTTGATATCCAGTTCTTTTGTGTCGCTGAAGTAGGCAACACAGGGTGAGTAATTTGATATCTACCCATTTCCATGTAATCTAACACCATAGATCACCACTGAGCTTTAAATATCCTTTACTCTTTGTACTCTGAGAAGTTATACTCTTGACCAGTAGGTGGAAACACCTCTTGCTTGGACACTGTTTTGGTACCAGTGAGACTAGGCCATCTTGTGGCCACCTGTAACTCACACAAAATTTAACCAAAAAAAAAAGTAACAGTGATAAAGAATTAATCTTGACACAGTTATGACTGAAAAAGAAGTTGTATTTATACATAAAGCTAGGAGAACAGACTACAATGACAAATTCCAGTTTTGTTACTTATCACACTGCAATAAACCCATCTCATCATCAGTCTCACAAAAGACCTCCTTTCATTCGCCAAAACCATCACTATCTTCATCATTTCGCTGACTTCACAGGACAAAAAGAACTTACGATGGATCTCAAAGAAATAAAGAAGAAAATCAGTTTCAGCTGCTTCAATATGAGGTACCAGTTTCACGCTTCTCTTGTAATATACAAGGATGAAGTACTTTAAAAAAAAAAACTCCTCCATTTTCTTCTTCTGCTCTGCATCACTGTGGATCAGTGAGTACTGTTTAGTTTCATGCTGAAGGAGATAAGTATGTCCATTATTTCATAACACAAAGCCTACACTACATGCATTATATGCATAGTATAAAATGCAAAAGGCCACACTAACCCTTAAAAAAAAAAGGAAACATTAGGGAAAAGATAAAAAGAAGAAGAAGAAGAAGAAGAAGCATGCAAAGAAAGATGGATTTCAAAACAGGAAGAAACTTGGGCAAAGTACATTCATTCCAGGCTTACAAAAAAGTAACAGCAGTGTGATTAAGCGAGAAAAGTCTTTTACGTGCTTGTTCCTACTTGAGCAACCCTGGCAGTGGTTCCCTTTTGTTTTTCAAATCTCCAAACAAGCACATACCATGATAAATCAGGCACACAGAATAGCACTTCAGACGATGCCATAAAGCCCCCAGGGGGCTTCAAGACCTACTATTATATTGGTGACCCCTTGTGCTCTCTGAATGAAAAGTCTCAGCACTCAAACATCCCAGGAGATGAGGATGTAATGGACACTATTAGGGAACAGTGGAAGCAGGGGGCGGGTGAGGGAAAGACGGGGGAGGGTTATGTGCTCTCACCACGGTCTCCACATAGAGGGGTCGCCTCCTGGGAAGAATGGGGGAAGGGCTGCTTGTGCAGGAGGCTGGGGGGTGGGGGAGGGAGACCTGGGTGGGGATGACTGCCCCCGGGGCCTGACGCCACCCCCCTCTCTCGGCAGGAGCACCCTGGGAGAGCAGTGAGGGCTGCTGGGTGAGGGAGGGGTCACAGGGGAGGGAGGGGTGTGTAGGTGGAGAGGGCGGGGTTGAAAAGAGGGCAGAGAAAGAGGGGACTGGGTAGGGGAGGTGGGAACAGTGCTGCTGGACGCTGCAGAGCCAATGCTGGCCCCGCTCTCGCCGCTGATCTGGGGCAGAGACTTCAGCAGGTGGTTCAATAGACGGGCCCCCAGGGTTTTGTCCATGCCAGGGCAGTTGAGGAGCAAATTGTGCACCTCATGCATGCACTGGATGTAGCCACTGCTGTAACGCTGGCGTGACTCAAAGGCCATGCTGGGCCCTTGGCTTCCAGCTGCAAAAAACAAAAGAAAAACATGGTGGACTTACACTGGATGAAGGCTTTTTTGGTTCCCTACAGAACAATTCAGAGGATAGTTCTGTAAAAAACTGCTGAAAATTGTGACAGCAAAAATCTACAGCATCAGTCAAAAGAATGTTTTTGGCACCTTTATTTTAAGGCTGTATGAAAGTTAATAACATTTCTATTAAATTAGGAACTTAAGAACATAACTACTTTTTTACATTACAAGGCATTATAACTATGCAACTGAACATCCAATTCCTCATTATACACACAAACTATATTCTCAAAACTCCTGCTAGCATTTTCTATGCCTACCTGGTCCATGGCCCCTCTGAAGACCCTCCATGTGTTGCACAGTTATCTCAAGAACATCTGCCTTCTCCAGCTTGGATTGCTTGTTGAAAGAACACAAGGGAAGGCAGATTTTACAAATCATTATTTTAGAGCATATACAAAATAATGAACAGAGTGCGTGCATGATGGTATGTTTGTTTGTGATTACTCACATCCAAATTGTAGGCATCCACCATAATCCCCTTGAGCTGCTCTAGGCTTGAATTGATGCGTTCCCTGCGTCTCTTCTCTATCAGTGGTTTTCGAAGCTAACAAAAATAATTGGTGATTATTCAAAAGAGAAACATGTAGCATGCAGTCAGTGTTGGGACAGTTGGGGCTTTGTAGCTTGCTGGTGGTTTAACTACATTCATACATGCACAGCGAGTCAAGTAGTTAAATTACTTTTTTGTAGTTATTTTTTGTGTAGTTATAACTACTGAAACCAAAAACAATTTTGGGCCATAAAAGGTTGACAATCTTTGCAGTTTCCCATGAACAGTGGGTATTTTATTGTTTGGTTTATGTATGGACCGTGAAAAGGTGGGCACTTGTTGCAATAAACTCAACTGTACCACTTTTTGCTGGCATGTGATTTTTTTGTACTATATTTTGCTATAATTCTGTATCACATGTACTGTCAGTTTGTTTGTTTGTTTGTTTTCCAAAGTAGTTTGAACCACTTTAAGTAGCTTTAGTAAGCCAAAATAGATTTCTCCCTCTGGTAGCTTTACTGTAGTTTAACTTCTTTCAGTGTGAAGTAACTGGTAGCTTGCAAAGCTATCAAAGTAGCTCTCCCAACAATGCATGCAGTATATGTGTTAATATATACTAATAGCCACCACAAAGCCTGAGATCAGCTCGTTTAGAAATGACAAAACTATCCACAGAATATTCACAGCTTAACAGAGTCAACTAACTTACCTTCCGTTCCTCTTTAGTGTTGAAGTTCTTCTCTGCTCCACTGCTGGAGTTGCTGAAGGCAGTCATGTTTTGGTGCTAAAGCGTAGGTTATTTCCCACGCACAGTAAAAGCTATTTCGAAAAGTTTCAGTGGCCTCCAAAGGCAGTTTCAGTCTCTTCACTCTTTTCCAATAGCTTGTGGTGATGGGGGGGGCGCTGGCTGGCAAGCGGGTAATATAAGATGCTTGTGACCTCGTTTTTTAAAATGTGTAGCCACCGAAACCTCCCCTTTAAACCTCCTCCCTTCGCAATTACCATGATAATGTGCTGGGGCTTTCGGTAGCACACTTTCCCACAATCTCCAGGGGAAACAAGAGGGGAGGAGGTTCAACCTGCAGTTTTCAGCTTCTCCTGTTGGGGGCGCCCTTTACAACCTGAATTTTAAGGTCACGTAAAATAAAAACATATATATTATACTACACACGCTGTGTTGTCACTACGATGTCACTACATTTCCACAGTCATAGTGCATTGCAACGTCGCATAATTACTGTATTTTATGTATCTATGTATGTATGTATGTCAAATTTGACCTGTTTTGACATTTCAAGGCACAAAAACCGCCTTATTTTTTTTTATAAAGCCTTACTTTGATTACTGAAGTGACTAAAAATTAACAAAAAGTCATACAAGTTTTATACAGGTGCTACACATTTTTTGCACATAGGGCCTGCGCCAGGTCAATTTTGTTATGTGTATTGAATGAATTACAGGTTCACCAAAGGGGTGTGAAACAGTAAAACACTGACACGTTTTGAAGCCCCAAATCTAGCGAGTGGGCCAGTTCTAAAATGACCCGGTCCATGTTGTAAAGGGTTAGACTATGAACAGCATGGATGGAAGTGTTAACAAAAGGTCCAGAATAACACAAGGCGATCACACAACCCAGGGTTCAATGTGATGCTGGCTGTACAATTGAAGAACCTTTGTAGCTACTTTTGTGAAATCCAGTTCAGTTCAGAACAAGGCCATCTGGACTGAAGAAAGTGGCAAAATGATCCAAACAGTCGATTTATAATCTATTAAGGTGCAAATAAAGGTAAAATATGTCTTTTTGTTTTAGTCTGTTTGAAGGGCCACAACAGAAGCTAAGGCTGTATTGTTTTTAATCTTTGGAGTACTGGCTGTGGTATATGTTAAATTTAACATCAGTTGTTCATTTATTCTTTCAGTGAACATATACTAGTTTTAGTAAACCTGTTAGGGAATATGTCAACAATTTCTACTGCAAAGAATACTAATATTATCCGACTAAACCACAGGTCGCCTCCAGGAAGGGAAGTCAAATGTTAAGAGTGGTTTGACGCGAAATGCTCGGCTCTAAAGACTCTTACCAGGTCGGACTTGTTCACAGTGGTGGTGACAGAAACCAGACATCACAAAAAGTTGTTACATTAAATGGTTATGAATTTGCCAGACGCTCCATTGCTCTACGGTATCTTTCAGATAAAGTTTTTGGCTAAATGTACCTTTTAAACCATTAATTGTGGAGATACATGTAGGGTGTTGTAAGCAGTCCCCAAAGAAAAGCACTATTTTGTCATTATCATCATTATGCACAAACGCCTGTAGGTTCAGTGGTGGTTGGATAGTGAATAAAATGGCTATGTTTGTGTGGTAGCCACTGTGACCTCTAGTTCCCATCACCACCACTGTAAAGAAATCTGAGACTGTTTCTCCACGATGAACCGTTTCATATTAAACCACTGTAAATAACCTTGTTTGCATTGCAATGAATTTGAAAAACTGGAGGAATTCCTCTCTTTCAGTGTTGTAGGCTAATCGTGTACCTCAAAAACAGCAAGTGGCTAACACAGAGCTAGAGCCCCGGTGCAGGACGCGGTTGGAGGAGGGCAACGTTACTAAACAATGGCACCGAAACCTCATTTCTCCAAGTGTTGAAACACAGAGCGAACTTTCTCCGCGATAATCTTCACGTTTAGCCAACCCCTTCCTGTGTTCAGCCCGACCCCCTGGCCTCGGCGTTTTCATAGCTCTCCCTCTTTCGGCTGGGGGACGGACACACTCCAGTGAAGCGTGCTAACGCCTCTCTTTCTACCCTAATGACCCGCAGACAGCAGGATAATAGACAAGGTGCCAAAGCTTTAATGGTCATCTTAAACATTTAAACCCGGCTTAGCTTTCCTTTTTCCTTTTTCACGAGGAAAGCCGTCTGTACAGAGGATTTCAAGGCCCGGGGCGAAGCTGTTCCTGCGAACACATCTCGAGGAAATGCGGGCCTGAAGGAAACTTCACGTTGCCCATGCGGTGGCCAGAATAAAACACATCTGCAGTTCTAACAGAAATCCAGAAATGTCTTCAGATAGCGAACGAGTGATGGCCCAGTTCTGGGCCACATACCACCGTGCAATGACGGCGATGACCTTTCCCAAATCGGGTGCAAATCATGTGTTATATTAATTTGATCAACCTCTTGTGAGATTGCCGACCCCTGCTATAAAAACCAGCATAGATCAGTATGGCTGGTCACCAGCAAAAGTTCTGTTTCGGATGCTGAGATGCTGGTCAGCAGGTCAACAGCAGTGTAAGTTAAGTTGCTGGCCACAAGGAAAACCAGCTTATGTGTTTTAGATGCTGGTCAACCAGCATGACAATGTTAGGTGACCAGCTCAGTTTAAAGCAGCTTAGATCAGCATGAATTCATGCTGATCTGTGCTGTTTTTTTTTCCCCAGAAGGGATACAGTTTAGTTGTTTATTATTCATCACATTAATGTGAACTGTAATAGCTCACAGTACTTTTGCATTAGCTACTCAAGTACATGTGAAATCAAGTAATCTTCTGCTTTTATTCAGGTAGAATAGGATGCTTCTACTTTCACTCGAGTAATATTTTACCAAAAATATTTGTTTACTTAAATAATATTTAACCAGAAGTATTTCAACTTTTTCTATAGTGCACACGTTTTGTATGGTGTCTACCACTGTAATTTTTAATGGTCTGAACAAAAAAGGCTACCCTTTTGTTCAGACCATTGTTGTTTTCTTTGGAGAGGATGTTTCTCCTTAAAACATAATTCATTTTTGCATAACGCACACCTTGTTCAAAACATAGCAAGTTTAAAATATATTACAAAATGGTCTGTCTGTTCAGTGGCCACAAAATGTATTTGGACCATACTTAAAATGCATTTAATGTTCATTGGGTCGGGACACAAATGCTAAACCAAGTGCCATGTATTTTAAATTGACCTTGTCCCAGGTGTAATTTTCTTTTTGGCAAAGTATTCTTTCAAAAAGTGAATGCTGGGTTTCAGATTATTGTTTGAACAGTTGTTTCACAGACTCTAGCAGGTTTGCCTCCAAAATGCCTTCGCGCACTTCTGAGGTCATGGTCCTGTCAGTGAATACAAGCTCACCAACACCAAGAAAAACAGACCCAGACTTTTCCTGATGTTTCCTCCTCTGTGCTTTACAGTACTCTTAGTGCAGTGTGGTTGGAGTTCCTGGAGCATCCAGAAAAGGCCTCATCCTTTATGAGCAAGGAGTGGTCAAAACTCACCATTTTGCCCAAAAAAAAGTGTCAGTGAGTAATCCAACAGTTTTTGTGATGGATAGCACCACATGGGCATGGGAATACGCAGACAAACAAACCGTTGTCAGTAAACACAATTTGTTGCTGTATCCGCAAATGCAAGTCAAGACTGAACTGTGCACAACAGAGTCCATATGTCAACAATTCCAGATTTCTCTGGACTCAGGCTCTTCTGAAATGGACTGATGCACAGTGGAAATATGCACTGTGGTTTAACGAGTCAACCTTTCAGTTTGTTTATGGAAAGAATGCAAGTTATGTTTCAGGCCAAAGGAGAAAATGACCAACCTCATTGTAACACTAGTGTACAGTTCAAATGCAAGGGTCCCTCATGGTATGGGGGTGTATTAGTGAACTTGGCATGGGTAACTTGCACATCTGTAAAGGCATTAACGCTGATAGATATATACACAATTTGGAGCCACATATGTTGCCTTCTAGACAACGTCTTTTTCAGAAACCTCCATAATTATTTCAACGTGGCACAGCCAAGCCACATACTGCACCTGTTACAACAGCATGGCTGCATAATCAGAGAGTGCAGGTGTGAGATTGACCTGCCTGTAGTCCAGACCGGTCTCCCACGTGTGGTGCATTGTGAAAAGCAAATGGCATACATAGCTGTAGACTTCAGCTTTTAAAACAGTCCCCAAACCAATTTTAAAGCTACACTATGCAGGAAATTGGGGGTTTGGAAACCTCTGTGGTGGAAATGGTTTCATAACATAGGTTGTGCTTCAGACCCCCACAAGCGTATGAAGCTGACCTTTGGAAGTACATTGAAAGAGTATTCGAAGATAACTCGGTCAAAACTTGGTGCAGGACATTTTTTTCCAAGGATGTGAGTGAATTATCTACTATAGTCATATCTTCATCCGTATAATGTTGATTTTGCGTTTGAGACCTAACATTAAGTCAGACCTTCTTTTGACTCTGTGCATGTGACATGAATACGTAAAGACATGCCATAGTCCGAAAAACACCCGCCAAATCTGTCCTGGTATCTCTGACTTTTAAATGACTATTTCAGGCTTTGAGGGGTGACACAGCAGCTCACACAGCGACACTATATTTTCAGTATGTATTTACATAATCAGTAATGCTGCTTCTTTCAGTTTTAACAAAAATATTATATAGTGCTGCTTTAAAAGGAAAGATGCAACACAGTGGTAAAACATGCTCCAGTCCTCTTGTTATGCAGCTTTTTTGGAACATGTTGCAGGCATCAAATTTAAGCCGAAACATCAAACATTGTGTTTTTGTACTGTTTTCAGTTTAATACAGGTCAGAATTTACTAATACCTGCTTTCTGTTTTGTCTTAGCATTTCACATGCTGCCCCAACATTTTGGGAATTTCAGTTCAGATATGTTTAACATACAATATAGGATCCCATACACATACATAAATAGATCACCCACTTCTTATACATTTCTGCGTCACAGCACAGAGGAAATATATTATTGTAATTTCCTTCTATGATTTGTGCAGCAGATTACATTGAAAACTAAGTTGGCTATCAGTGTGACTAAATAGGAAAATGCTTTTTGTTGTGTCAAAACCACAGTTCTTTCAGAAAAATAAAACACTTAGAAAGCACATTTTAAAACAACACATTCAGACAAAATGTTCATTATGGTTTGCAAATTGTCAGTTCAAGGAAACTCTTCACACTTTATGGTGCTGAAGCAACACATTTATATGCCTCTGTGCAGGCTTTAGAAATATCACCCTTGTGATACAGACCTTTGGTGAGTAGAAAAGATGCAATCTCACATGACCTATTTCAGACAGATATGCTATGTGACAAAGTTTCTGTTTTCAGTTTCTTTTTTTATTCTTCTGTGAGACCCTTACTAAGAATTCTTCTTGTTCTAATGATCCGATTGGTGTAATAAACATTGTCTTTTTTTATGTGGTTTAATATACTTTAGTGCCTACAGATTATAAGGAACATTAGGTTATCACCTCCAATGTCAGTCATTTTTATATTTATTGTTCAGGGCAGACAAGTGTAGACATTTCTTAAGCAAAGTAGGCTGATATTTTTAGAGGTAGTGTGGTTTTCTAAGGAATAAATGACTCAATTATAATTCCATTTGTAAGTATTAAAGTAAACCTTTAGGTAAATGACAGTAAAGCCGAGTTCCCCAAAGGCAGTATATGTTTATCTCACAGCATTAGCTTGGCATGAAGAACAGCTCAGAGACTTCTATAAGACATTCATGTCACTGTTCAGACAACTTCCTGACTTCTGTGAATTATGCTGAGATACTGTGAGGAGTTTACTCAGAATGCTGTTTGCAATGCCAGTTTGGCTTATTTTCTAAAGGAATTCTTCACCATCCACGTGACAAAATGATCGACTTGTAACTTGATCCGTTGAATAGACTCAGTTGATTTACTATGCGGAAGCCAACAATGCTGGAGGCTTACGGATGTGGTTCAGTGAAGAGGGAGAAAGAAGGCCAATGCGGCAGAACTGACAGGAAAGAGTGGTGGGCGATCAAAATTAAGGTGAAGGGTAATTTTTTTTGGTTCCTTTTTGCTGTTAAAACTGCACAATTAAGTCAGCAGAAGTAGTATCTGTTTTTACAATAAATTCTTTAAAAAGAGGCCAAGATATTGGGTAGTTATAGACATCACACACACACACACACACACACACACACACACACATATATGCATCATAGCTTGTATCAGAGGGATTTCTAAAATCCACCACAAAAGTAAATTTATGTCATTTCAACTTGGAGAGTCCCTTATTCGCTTATTCAACTTGCAAAATGCCAGTGACTTCTCCAGTGTTTCATTTTTTAAAAAAACCACAAAGTGGTAAGTTGAGGTGTTTTACCTTAATGCCACAACCACAGCAGTAACAGACTATCACTCGGTCTTTTTGCCAGAATTCCTCAGACTGCAAAAAAAGAAACTGTTTAGTTTTTGCTCACACAGGCAGCTCTAATCTGATATTTTGGCCTTATTGTCTTATTTGAGCAGGAAAGATTTTCTGCTGTGTGAATGGCAAAAGGCCAAAAGAAGTCATGTTAGATTCAAGCCACATTGGTATGTGCCCTTGATGTGGCACTGTGAGCAAATCCAACTAGTCTGAGGCTTGAAGTTTGGTTACTTGTAACTCGCAATGTGACGGCACAAATCCAATTTGCCCTGCTGTGTGAACAAACCCTTGTTTTTAATGTATAAATGGTTATATCTTAAAGGGCCTATGTTATTGAAAACTACAGTTCCCTCACTTTTTTAAAGTGAGAGAGTTTGATGCAGAATGTAACCACATTACTTTCATGTTTACTTTCAAACATGCCGTCAGCTCTCCAATCTCATACGGTCCGCAGATGGAAACTAACCTGCAAAAACAGGTTTTTTCAAAAAATTTGGAATTAATTGTTTTTGTAATGTCATGTTTGCTACACATTTATGCATTTACATAGCTGCCTGTTCAGCAGTTTAGCCCTGCCCATTCACTTTGAAGTCATAAAGAGTGTTTCAGTCCAGACTGCTTTTTCAGTGTACACAGAACAGGACATCCAATCAGAACATTTACACTTATTGTGTGTATTTACACACACAATTCAAAGGTACTCTTGGAGCACATTGTGAATAGAATTTATGTTTTGGTTTACTTTATTATTACTTTCTTACTTTCAGGAAAGTTATAACAACCAGCAATAACCACCAGGTTCACTAACTGAAACTCAGAATGATCTCAGTAATTCATTAAAGATTTAAGTAAGTCGTCTAGGAATGGACTAGTGGTCTGATGGTCAGCCAGGCCTCTTGGATGTTCTCGTTGATGACCAGAGCAGGTTTTGAACACTTCCTGAAAAAATATTTTTGCATAAATAATTTTTTTTTTGCAATGCAGACAACAATTAGTGTGTTTTTTATAAAGATTTTTATTTCACATACATTTTGCATTCTTGATATTACTGCAATATTAAAAGTAGCCTGTTTTTGTATGATATTTTAGGAAGGCGTCAGGTAAAAATTCACTTGAATATGTGTACGTTCACGTATCAAGTGTTTCCCCCCTCTTACATAAGCTGGTAAAGCAAAACAAATTAAGACAGAATACCTTAGATAATACAGTAGTATATACAAGAAACTTGAGTAAAGGGAGCACAGTTTACAAGTTGACTGATCAGTCTTCAGATTGTCGCTGTTCAAAAAAAAAAAAAAATCTCCAGAATAGTAACTGTACAGGAGAAAGCAAAAACTTTCTTAACTTTTACTGTAAGTTAATGTAAAAAGATTTTAGAAGTGATTTTGAAACATTTCAGTTGGTCCATGTCATGAAATTGGCCGTTATGAAATGTTTACAAAATGTAATAGACGACTGTCATGTTCAAATATGTTTAAAAATTAAAAAGTATTAAAAAGTAAAAATGAACAAAAATGTGTTACTAGTTGATTTTTTTTTTTTTTGGACAATGACGATAAACATCATCAAGATAACAAAGAAGAGGTTATTATTTTATCCACATTAACTCTACTTTTTATATAAAATCATGCTGCTTTCAAGTGGTCTTGCTTTTACCAGCAAAACAAGTTTTCCACTAGGAAACACCACATGAACACCAAAAATAATAATAATAAAAAGTTTGAAATTTTTGCTACACAAATTGGTATTGAGTTGTGAAGTCAACACCATTTGTAACATGGCTGAGGAAAGAGGTGAACAGTGCATTAAGAGAAAGCAAATATATAACACTGTACACTATAATAAATGTAATAATAATGACTTCAGACTACAATGAAAACAAACATTTCACATCCTCCATGTGTGTTTACTTTCTACATAAACCACATAAACGTGAGCAAGCTTGGTGAACTGGTTCCTCTTCTGAGAAACCACCAGCCAATCTGCATCTGTTCCTCTTGCAGGTGACCAAAGTAAGGCAATTCTGAATGTGCTATTTCTTTGCTGGCCATGTGCATCTATTTTTGTCAGTGAGGAGGCCACAGGAAAGATGTTCTTGTTGACATAAATGGACTAGTTCCTCATTACCCTCAGTAATATCCAAACTAATGCATAGTATCTTTGAATGCACCTCAACTCAAAAATCACTTTAGAGTAGATAATGCTGCTGTGATGTTTAGAAACATCTTGTCATTTTATTTTGTCTTTATGCCGTGCAGACTCTATACAGTCATTAATGGCATGAAGTTGCTTTGGAAAAGTTAAAAAGACAAAGGTCACATACAACTCAGTATTATAGATTCTCTTCCCGTTTCTCTACCATATTGCTGGATGTGGTTATGATGTATCATTGCATCAGTGACGCAGATTTTGTGTAGCATGCTAAAGTGGTCACTAATCATTGTTTGATAGCTTTAACTGAACTTTCCTTATGAATCATCCTCCACTGAGTCAAGATAAAATGTGCACGCAATGCCAGCGGAAATCATGCTGTATTGTGAAACTGATCATAGTACTGGATGTACATTTTGCACACTACTCCTAAAACAGAAACAACAAAATGTGTACTGTGGCACTGTGTAGTTACATGTTTTTGTGAATGATCTTTGCAACATCTGCTTTATTTCTCCATATATCAGTGTATAACATTATGCCACATTGTTTGGCTGATGGCAGAATTCCAAAATGTTGAGGGCCTAAAATTTAAGGTGACTGTTTCACGTACACTCTTTATGGTTCTTTAAGTGCTCTTTAGTAAAGAAAATGGTTCTGTATAGAAAAACCCTTCTCATGATTAAACGGTTCTTTGCATGGTGAAATATTCTGGTGGAATTCTTCAGATAGATGGAGAATGTGCTATAAACGGTTCTATACACAACCTTTTAGAAAAGCTTTATATAGCACCAACAACATGCTATATATTGTTATTTCGTTGTCAAGTTTGTAACAACAGAAAGTCCCTTTTTATAAAGGTTCTGTATAGAACCATCTATAGCACTTTCTCCATCAATCTGAAGAACCATTTCACCATGCAGAGAACCCTTTAATCATATCAACTGACAGTTTTGAGTTAGTGGAACTTTTTTCTGTTGTGAAAACAGGACCCTGACAAAGCATTTCTCAAGTTCATGATTATTACGTAACTGTTTGTGGACAGTAATTTTGACACCCACTAGGCAACAAGCAAAATTGGAGCCTTCAGGTATTGAGAGGCGCTCTGGAACGGGTGGCTCCATCTGAGCTGTGACTGTTCATGGGCCACATCCTCCAAACAATATCAATGTCGACGTTTTTGCGGAACGTCTCTGTGGTGAAGTAGTAAGCCAGTGGGTCCAGAGCAGCATTCAGGCAGGCTATCATCAGACTGTATTGGTAGGCAGATATCGCTGAGCATGGCATGCTTTTTGTATGCCTACTGTAGGAGTATAGCACAGCCAACATGAGATGATATGGCAGAAAGCAGAACAGAAAGATGGCCAGGTTGGTGCTAATCATCTTCTGGATCTTGCGGCTGTTGACTAAGCCATCTGTCTGTGCAGCAGTGCTTTTCTTGATGGCCCGAACAAGTCCCCAGGAACAGAGAACCATGATAACCAGTGGGATCCCAAATCCTATGGCTATGGAAGAGGTCATGGCGGATGTTTGTGTGGCAAAATGTGGAAAGCTTCTGAAACAATGCTCTTGTCCTGTCTTGTTTATTTTATTTTTCCCTCCATCCAGGTACATGGGCAGGCTAGCTCCTATGGTTAGCATCCAAATCCCTACGCACACTAGTGGTGCCTTTTTGCGGCCTTCACGCACTCGGGAAGACATAGGGAAGCAGACGGCCAAGCAACGGTCAAGGCAAACACAAGTGAGCAGGAAGATGCTTCCGTACATGTTGACTAACAATATAAGCCCAGCAATTTCACAGGTCTTCTGTGGTAGCTTGTGGAAATAATGATAGATCCTTAATGGCAGAGTGCAAACTAGAAGAAGGTCTGCTAAAGCAAGATTGGTCATGTAGACAATGGTGTGTGAGCGTGACTTGGTTTGGAAGAAGAAAACTAAAAGCGCCATAAAGTTGAGGATGAGCCCAGCGACGAAGACGAGAGCATACACCACGGCAAAAAAGAACGTTTCATGTCCCTCTGTTTGATTCTTACACAGTTCAGCTATGTGCTCCAGGCTGGAGGAGTTCAACATTGTTCTTCTTTGGATGGAGTTTGAGCTCAGTTTAGCTTTCAATAGGCTGAAAAGAAACACAAAAAAGATGTTACCACAGGATGTTAGCATGGCTCCTACTGTAAGACAAGCAAATGCATGATTTCAAGCAATTATGTGTAGTCACCAGTGCTAAAAATAGACTTGAAATTTCCTGCACAAGAAAGCGATGTCCTTCTAAATGTCTTTGAAAGAGAAAGGCGTTCCACAGAAAAAACCCCTCACCACTTATTTTTTCCAGAAATGTCAACTGACACGTGTGTTACTAGGGTTCGCATAAGTAGTAGGCGGCAATGGCTTGCGTGTTATTTTGAAGACAAGCAACATCAACTGATGCTCTTTCTACATAATGTTTACTTGTTCTTTTCACACCTCCAAAGTTCAGTCTACAAAGTTGGTTACATTTTTTGCTTCTCATGATCCAAGTAATCCCAAACACATTCAGTTATATTGAGGTCTGTTGTTAGGAGTCCCATTTTCTTTATATCTTTTTAATTATTTTATGGACTTTTGGAAAACCTATTTTCCTTTGACTCTCCCTTCCTTACGCAAGTGGCTTATCTTATATTTAATCTATTCAGAAATGTCTCTGATTTTTGCACAGTACAGTGCGTGATTTTAAAAGACTTTTTGAACTGTGACATTTTCTGGATGTAGGATGTGTAATATCAAATAGGACATCAAAGCCTTTCTTAAGAGGGTAAGAATTCATAAATTTTCATGGCCGATTCTGATTGTAGTTTGTTTACAGCCAAATTACCCAGTATATATTACCCAGTCTTCTGTTTAACAAAGTACCTGGAGCTCAGTCTTTGTGGGTTCAGTGAACACATGAAACACGCCAGTGCCAGTTCTTTCCTTAGTTAAATTTGCGACATAAACAACACCATTTGCTCTTTACTTGGCACGTTAAAATCATAAACAAAAAAAAAAAGTTGCCTATTTTAAGACACATGAAACCAAATAAAGTGCCACATCAAAAGTAAGAGGAAACTGGCTATGTAGCATGATGATTCATGTATAATCATGCTACATTTTGGTATACGTGTAGGAGCAGCATTTAAATACAGCACAAGTGCACTTGGCTCACATTATTTACATCATGAAATTGCAAAACAGATTGGCCAAAATCAAAATAATAAATCAAGCAGATGCTAATTGTTTCACATTAGCAATTCAGATTGTGCAACCCTTGTACTGCGCATTACTTTATACTTCAGGTTTTGCTTTTTCGGATGTTGTGTCTCTATCCTATATGAAACTACACGTCTTCTGAAAATGTAGAAGGCAGTAAATAGTAAGGTTTTGGCTACTTAACAGTCATGACTATTTAAATATGGCTTAGAATATCAGCACTCTTCCAGCCTGCTTTTATATGTTCTACTTTTGTATACAGAACTGTGCAAAAGTCAAAAGCACCTAAGTAACTTGTTTAATATTAGTTATCTGGGCAGTAAGCATGTTTTGGTTGTAAAAACACTGCGTAACATTGGAATAAATGCAAACATTAATGCAGTAAAAAGTTTACATGTCTTATTTTTAAAAAGCAAAACGTAGTGTGTAGTGCCAGGTAAGTAGCTTTTTAAATCTAAATTTCTCAGGTGCCTAAACATTTGGTACAGTCCTGTATATACCACTTTGTATAAATGTATATACTGTATACTTTTGTCTACTTTTTTGTAACTGTTCACAGAAAACTTCATGCTGTTACTTTTATTTTTTTTTAAAAATCAATATTTGAGCAGACCTGTCCAGGGTGTATGCTGCCTTCCGCCCAATGACAGCTGGGATAGGCTCCAGCACCCCACCGCGACCCAGAAGGATAAGTGGTTTAGATGATGTATGTATGTATGTATGTATGTATTTGAGCAGTATCATGTAAAACTACAAACAAGCTACCATCAGTACTGCTATCAGTACAAGCTACCATCAGTTATAAAGGCACTGAAAGGCGTCCTTCTTGAAATAGAATGAAACAACAAAACTCTCATATCAGTAGGTTCAAGTCATAATTAATGAATGACTCTAATAAAAATATAAAAGTCATGTTTAGATTTAAACAAGAAAACCTTTAAAATAGAGAAATGCAGTTTAACCATTTCAACATTAAATAAAATTGCATAGCAGATTTAACTTGAAACACAATTATGACGTGGCTTACCTTCTGTTTATATACACAAATTAATTCCTGCTTGGTTAGGATATAAATTTTATTGAACCTGTGATACAAACAATGTATTGAAAATATTGTAACAGGTCCAACCTAAACCTCATATGAAAATAATAGGTTCTCAGGCTTTGTTAGTGTTATGATTTGTACAATGTTGTCTACAACATATTTCCAGTGAACCTTGTCATCCAGATCACCGAGTCGTCCATAAGTTGTAAGTCAAGGCTACTTATGGTGAAAGTTATTTCGAGTAACTACTGTTTGACTAATCCAACATAATATTTGCCCTTTCTTAGAAAGTTGTTGGGTATTTGCTTCAATAGTGAAAATAAATTGTAAGTCAATTTTATATTAGATTAAATTTAGACCTTTTCCTATTTTTACCCTCAGCCACTTCTGCTGTCATGTATGTATGCACACTGTAAACTTAAATTAGTTCACTTAAAAATCATGTAACTTTATTGCCTTGAAAAAAAAAGAAGCAAAATTACTTAACAAGTTTAATCTTAAATAACTTTATATATGAGTTAGTTACTTTCTAATTTTCAGTGATCCACACTTCTGCAGCAAGTATGGTTAACTCAGTCAGCCCAGTAACTCTAAATAGTTTTCACTGAGCTGAGAGTACTCTATTTTCACAAACTCTTGAATTATTTAGGTTAACTTGAATCTAATAATCTTCTTTATGTAAAGTATACACATCGGTAAAACTACTCCATTATATTTAATAGAATGCCTCCAAACTCAACTGTGAGATTATGCTATGACACAAAAATAACAGTTTGCAAAGAGAATTATATCTACAAAGTAGAAAAATATAGGTTAACAGAAACCAACAAAACTGCTAAGAATGCTGGGAAGCTTCTTGAGCACCTCTGCAGTCTCATCCAACATAACTGTAGGACTGATCCAAATGAACTGATCTTAACTACATTTACCTTAGTGAGTCAGGATTAGACAAGACATAGTATGTGTTTTTAGATTTGTATTAGTAATTTTACCCAATACGTAAACTAAAAAAAAAAAAAAACTTACGGCAATTGTAATGTTTTACAGTGCAGTGTAAAAGCCTAACCTCACGTTCTCGGCCCACTCAGCACCAGGCAGTATTTCACATCAGAACTTGTCCGTTACATTCATTTTCTCACTGGTCACCCACAGAGCCACCCACATCTTCACTGCTAGATATCTCTCAGCAATACTGCTGATGTCTGTCATTTTGTCTTGCTGCTGGTAGAACTGTACTGATCATTGTACCACCTAATCTGGTTTAGTACTACTGTGACAAAAGGCTGCTGTGAAAGCGCGACTTCAGAATATGTCCTTGAATTCATGCGGAGGCCTAAGTTTCAGCACTCAGAAAAGCACATTTTGGGTGGCCACTTCCTTAAGCATTTCCTCTTGTGTCTGAGACAGTTACTTCATTTCTACTCCATACTCTGAGCACACTATTTGAACTAAATAAGTTTTTTTAGATGACAATTACTGTAACAAAATTTCAGCAGAGCATTTTATCATATAGATTTATCAATGCATTTTAGAGCAGCTTTATAGTTTTTAGAATTATGTTATCCTGTCTGCATTAAACTGCAGCTTCTCTTTTTTTCTCCTTTTAACAATTGAAGAAGCAATCTGTAATACACTTTCTGTATTTCATGTATCAGCATCACCTGTTTTAATGTTAACATCCAACATCCAACATCTTCAAATCCTATTTGATTTACATTTAATTACAGTATATCCCTTTCAATAGTTCTCACATAGTGAATGTAAAATAAAAGACTTGACTAGATGTAAGATCTAATTAAAAGACTTAACTAGATATGAAGCGTAAAGTTGCTCTTTCTTATCAGTTGCTAAGTGGCTGAGATGATTCACAGCCCTGAACAAACCGCTAGATCTTCACACTTACCCAGAGAATATTTTGTAGAATTAGTTCTTAACTCCACAGAAGCGTTGAGCCGTCTCTATGCTGCTTGCTTTACTTCGTCATTTCTCTTTGCATGTTGGAGGCTGTGTACACTCAGGAAATACATCTCAGAATCGCATAGTACCCTACTTTTTTTTTTTTTCCGTTTTCGTTCACTGTGACTTTTCACAAAGCTTCCTGAAAAAATAAAAAGCTACCGCTATCTCCTAGATGCGAGAACACGGCCTCTGTTCCAATCCACACAAATTCTCACTGAAAGAGAAGCATACCCATGGCACCCTATTTTCGTGACTGGAAATGAAAATGGGGCATTAGAATTCAAATCAGCTGGAATGTACCTACCAAAGATTTTGAGGACCCAGACACCACAAATGACAAGTAAATGTGAAACTTGTGGGTGTGACATCTGCACGGTTCACATACAGTGTGAAGCCACATTTAATGAACAAGATTTCATTTCTCTTTACAAGACATGGCAAGCACACATTGAACTCAAAATTAGTACACAAGCAGTCCAAAATATATGACTAAAAAGGTTTTACTTACAAAATGCAACCAATAAATGTAGCAAATTCACAGTCTATTGGCGGTCTAAATAATACATAGTCAAAAACTATTATTTTGACTGTTTTCCATAAAACATACAAATTCTTTGCAGTACAATGTCCTTCAAATGAAGAAGTTTCCTTATTTTAAAAACACAGTTGTTCACACTAGAGCTATGATATTAGCATTGTGTCAGCATGTGTTGCAGCTAGGGCTAGGCAATAAGATGGTATTTATTATTATTATGATAAATTATTTCACAACATGCTTTTCTATTGTGAATATCGTCAGTACTTCTAAAACACTAAAGAACTGCCTGTTTTGTTACAGTAGGAGCAGAATTAGTCACACTGGATTTAGTGCAGTGTGCTAAACATTGAATAAAAATCATAAAAATGAAATAAAATGGTTTTATAGTCAATATATAGTATTATATAGTAAATATTACATAGTAAATATAGTAAATATGCCAACACTCGTCCTTTTAACCATCTGTTCCAACTTATCAGAAGTCAGAAATGATGAATACCGTGAAATTTCTTTGGAACTGAAGTATTGTGATTTTTATTATATTGCCCAGCCAGTAATGTAGCCGAATAGGCTGCTGATATTTCTCGAGGCACTGAGGTTGCCGTCGGGGTGGATTGTTGATGATGTCTTTATGATCAGGCTGTCCCTCCTCTGAAAACATTTTACACCTGTGGATAATCAAAATTGTAAGACTGATAGACTTCATGGACAGAAGATTTTATGAAGAATGCACCAACATATTGACAGCCCTCTACTTTCAATAAACAAATAGCTGATTGCGGTTTTCAGTGACACTTGCTGTGATTGTATTTGAGAGACACCGGTTGTGGTCAAACAACCATCAGTATCTGAAAACCAGAAGTAGTTATTTAAGATGAAAGGCTATCACTTCATTCTGAATAGCAACGGACAGACTAAATTAGTTGTTGAAGTCGGCTGCTGAAGCCTGCAGTAACCGGTGCATTTACGGGCATATTTCTTGAAATCATACTAAGCTGTATGGTGTCTCACCGATTTGCTGTTGCAAGTACCACAGAGGCAACCAAAGAGGCCATTGACCGCCTGGAAGCCGCACAGTATCACTTCCAAACAGGAAGCCACCAGCAGAGTGCTGAAAAGGCCAATGTTAAACTGAACCACATCCTTGGGCTCCTTGCAGGTATTCCAGATGTCAGGATTTTGCAGGTAGCTGCCATTACTGTAGAGAAAGAAAGAGTTGGTATGCACTTAATAAGAAAGGTGCCAGAGAGGGTCCTGTGGAATGAGAATCTTTTTGTTTATGGCAAGGTTGCCAAAAGTTGGCCCATGAGGATGTTTGAGTTGGCCCACCAGTAAGTTATCCTAACCCTACCCCCTCACCCAAAGATAATTTATACTAGATATATTTTGTTTGATTCTTCATTTTGAAACAAAATGTGATGTAATGTTATACATTTAAAAAAAAATGTGTTTGTATATTGTTTTGTCTTTTTGGCTCTCAGCATACTACAGACACTATATGGCCAAAAGTATGTGGACATGTGACCACCATGTCACTTGGCATTGTGTGTGGTTGTTAGGCTTGTGTGCAGCTGCTCAGCCATGAAAACTCATTTAATAAAGCTGCTGATGCACAGGTCTTATGCCGATGTTGCTTTGAGGGGCAGTTTGGAACTCTGTAGTGAGTGATGCAGCAGAGGATAGGCCAATTTTACACGCCACACCCTTCAGCACTTTGTGGCCCCACTCTGTGAATTCGCATGGTCTGCTGCTTTGTGCCTGAGCTGTTGTTGCTACATTTGACAATAATATCACTTGAAGTTGACTGGGGCAGTTCCAGCAGCGCAGAAATTCCACAAACTGACTTGTTGCAAAGGTGGCATCCTATACCACTACGTTATGCTACGTTTAAAGACCGCATGATTATGTGCTTGATTTTATACACCTGTAAGTAATGAGTGTGGCCAAAACACCTGAACTCAATATTTAAGAGGGGGAATCCACATATTTTTGGCCATATAGTGTGCATGAGCCTCCTACATATAAACATTGCCCTTTGGCTGCCAAAGACAAAAAGTTTAGGCACCCCTGGTATATGGCATTGCTCAAAAGAACCAATTCTGGCAGCTTTGTTTTTCAAAATGTACCATATCAGCTTGAGAACAGAACAGTGTTATCTCTCATACTTGTCATAGAATGGTCTTCCCCAGATGCCTGAGGCATTACTGCAGACGGGTCCATTAGCCAATCCTGCTGCAGCCACACCCAGGCTGTACAAAGCTCCAGCCACACCAATTGCAGCGAAGCCAATAGATAAGAACATCTAAAGGGCAAAGTGCAAAATATGCTGTCAGTGACAGTGATGCTGAAAGATACCCCAGCAAAGACTGTTACATAATTTGTTATAGCAGATATTTTTGATGTGATTACGGAACTTCTGAAGGGTGTTTTAAGTCAAACCTAAAATAACATTCCCAGACTTCCATGTGAAAGTACATTCAAATATATAGAGTATAGAGTGATGTTCATGTGAAATATGGGCCAGGGTTAGGGTAAATGAAGTAAAATGAAAAGCATGTAACATAAAACTCACTCCACATCGGTTGGCACAGCAGCCCTGTTTCCCTGTCAGGTGGATGTGAATGGCTGGGATCAGCACCTGCAGACCAAAAAAAAGAAAAATTCACTGCTATACCTTGAGCCAGGATAAACAGCAAATTGTGCCAGGACTGGAAACCATTTCATGTACAGGTTTAATCAAATGCAGGCCTGGAAGTGGCTTAGAGTATGACATATTCTGAAAAATGAATTAGGCCTGCTAGGTTTGGGGTTAGGATTAAGACCAGGGTTAGTTTAAGGGTTATGGTTGGTTTTAGGATTATATTCAGAGCTAAAGTTAAGGTTAAAATTGCAGCAAGTGTTAGATATACAGTTGGGGAAATTTAAGATGATGTTAATAGGGTTTAGTTGAATGTAAGTTTATGACAAGGTACAAATCTATGAAGTAGATCTACAGTGGACCATCCAAAAAATGCTCCACAGGCAGTAAGAAAGTAATAGAATCTGTAAAAGTGGGTCATGTTTGATTGGAACTCACCAAAATGCCACCTCCAAGGACACCTCCCATGTATTTGACTTCATTTGTAAGACGTGGGGTCTCTTCTGAGTCGTCCTGTGCATACTTTACCATCCAGTCAGGGAAGAACAGCAGTACGTTACAAAGGATGGACACAACAGCCAGAGGATAGAGTGTAATGCCGATAAACTTGGAGCACTTTCCGGTACACATCGTTGCACAAAGGACAGATTAGCACCCCACAAAAAATGCAAAAATTAAGGTTTAAAAATGTATTGAGAAGGAGAAAGTCCGAAACTCGAAAAATTGTGTGTCAAAACTGAACTTGGTTGCAGATCCAGTTCCCTCTTGCTTTCCAGATTTAACAGAGTGTTGAACGAGACCAGTGAGCATAAATACTGTTGATCCAGGAGTTCATAGACGGTGGTGGGGGTGATGAGGTGATAACGCAAACACATCCACCAATCACTTTCCATGTGCATGAGAGAGGTACATCCTTATCATATATGAGCTGTTATAAATGAGACTGGCCAATATATTGTAAATGTTATAAGTTTATCGAAAGCCATGAGTGAGTAGGCAATCCAGATAAGGAAGGAGATGTTCTCAGATGAAACAATAGAAAGGCAAAGTTGAAGAGATTGAGGTGAGAGTGTAAAAGATTACTGCAAAAAAAAGTTAAATAATTAACATCTGACAATTAATATAACTAAATTATCTGACAATCATAATTATTCCACTCACATCCAGACAATGTTTTTATTGTCACTGGAGTTCAAATTGAAATTGTATTGTTGCTGTTGTTGTTATTATTATTATTATTATTATTAATAATAATAATAATAATAATAATAATAGAAGAGGGAGAGACACAATTATTTTTTTAAAATACTTTTTTTTTAATATTACCTTTTCTTTTTAAATATTTGAGCAAGATCCATCTTTTAAAGAAACAACCTATGCATCTCTGTAGGTTTCAAGAAGTTATCATTTCTGAACAATTCAGTCAAAAGTGGAGTGTGAATGTTACTGCTTACACCATAGGCAGGGTTAATTGTAATAGACTGAGAGGCTAATTGTTGTTTGAACCAGACAAGCCTTCCAACCTAAATACATAAAAACATATTCATCAAAATAAATAAGATTAGTAAAAAGAGGCTGTGTCAAATACGGAAATTTATTTTTGACCACAAAGTAGAAGAGCAAGTATAACATTAAATATTGACATGAAAAGAACATAATTTTTATAGAATCTGTGGAAAAAAGTTTTGAATATATATGCAGGGAAATTAAGTTCTTTCTTTGGTTACTTTGGGAGGCCGTGTTAAAACTCCACCAGTCTGTACTTTAGTCTGGCCCTCGCTTAATGTTTAGTTGTTTATTTGCTTCAAAATGGTGCTGTATTACAGCCACTAACAAGTTCAAGATAACAAATAATATTGTGACATGTCTCAGTAACTGAATGTTATACATGATGAAAACACAGTCTTTCATAGTGAATCTAAGGAAATATCTTTTTAATTAGTATTAAATTTGCAGATAAGGTTGCTTGGGAATACCAGAAGATGACCAAAAGCATGTTTACCAAAAACCTGTTTACAGTTGTTGGGGTCCAAAGCACAACTAAATTTACAAAATGTTCTGCCACATGTTGTGCACAATTACACCTTTCCACCAGGGAAGTCTCCAAATCCCCAAAACTTACATAGTGCAGCTTTAACAACATAAAAGGTCTGTTACATTTTGCGCCACTCTCCCTTAATAATGATAAACAATCAATTTTAGGACAGAATCGTATTTTAAAACTATCTTAAAACAATGTCCCAGGCATCAGGCAATGCATTTGTAACCATTTCTTTTAATAGCTAACTCTGAGGGGGGTTTTAGAGGCATTAAACACTTGAGACGTCTGGTTCCTATCACCACCACTGTGAACAATTCTGACTCAGTAAGTTTTTCTAGTTGTGGTTTCACATCAGATCACTCTGAATAACTTTTTTCTATCTTAATGGTTTGATTGCACACACATGTTGAGAAAGATAATAATGTAAATGGTGAATGGTGGTCTTAAACATGCACCCCCATGTTATCTGTGTGTTCTGTCTCTGTGTCCATAAATTCTGACTCTGGATGTGGGCAGCCTGCAGGCAGCCTATCACTTTGGACACTAAAGTGCACTTTATTGACTCTGTGTTCATGTGCATATTAATGTCTGTGTCCTTGGAAAAAGGTGGACTCTGGATCTTATTGATGTGCAGATAACTGCTAAATACGCTGTAATCAAAGAGCCCATAAAGCGTCACTGGAAATTTTTACAATTTATTCAGTGCGCAATCATAAAGTGTTAATCAGCACTTTTTATAATACATAGTACATTTAATGAAATGATAGGTACAATCAAATCAAGACCTTTGTTAATGTTTTCTCATCAGAAGAGAAAATAATTAATGCTAAGAGTCTTAAGAGATCAGTTTGAGTATCTGTACTATTTCTAAGAACAATTAATGCTAAGTGTCTAAAGATATCTATTCTATTTGACAGCACAAAGCATAAAAAGTCACATATTATACAAGTCATACATATTTATGCTGTGAAAACAACCTGTTTTGAATTCACTCTTTCTATGATGTCACAAAAACACAACACATTTACATACATCTGCCTGTTTAGCTTACTGCAGTTTGGCTCCACCCATTTATCTTGACGTTTTAAGGAGTGTTTCAGCATGGACTGCTTTTTGAATAAGGCACAATACAGGGTAACCAATCACAACAGAGAGCCAATCACAACAGAGATTATATATATATATATATATATATATATATATATGTGTGTGTGTGTGTGTGTGTGTGTGTGTGTGTGTGTGTGTGTTAAACGCACAGTAACAAAAACAGCCTGGGTAATTCTAAGGGATAAAGAGATGTTGGAAAATTATCTTGAAAAAATGAATTATGTTGTTGGTACATAAATATATACATAAGATGAAGTGAAGTGGACCTCAGACATTAACTAATCTGAGGTCAGCAGCGTATATTGGCTTGGATTTGGTGTGTGGTTGCAGAAGCTGTTTTAATATCACTTTAACTGAACCTAGGCAGTAGGAGTTTTGGCAGACTAACTTCCTCTCTGAATTAATTGCCACACCAAAACCGTTTCCTTTTAATGTTCTTATGTAACTGAAAGGAACTGACAGTGTAATTTCATTGCTCATTCCAAGCCACATGTTCATAAACAAGCTTTGATAAAATTTAGATAATGTGCTTTTACAGATCAACCACACCCTGTGAACATGCGTTTAGTAAAACTTTGTAGATTTAAAAAGTTGGGAAGCAAGTCTTTAGAACAAAACTGATCCTGCTGCTGGTCCTGTTCTCTTGCGGAGGGTAGGGTCATACTGCCTCCTCATTTATAAGCATTTTATTCTGGACTTTATTAATGTTTTGCCCTGACCGTCACAGTCTCAGTTTACAAACTGCCCAACTGAGAAGAAGAAAGTTCATTAGCATAAACCTCAGACACAACAAATATCTTGAAACATTATCCAAGATTCTTCGAAGTGTGTAAATCTCTTTGTTATCTTAATAAACATTCAGTTATAGAAATATAGTAGGTTCAGTGCTGCTATCTTTGCCACGGCACGATCATTTGAAAACTCAGGGAGAAGTACAATATATTTCAGTAAGGACACAGATTATTTTCTACAGTCAATTGTTACAAATGTTTCACTAAGTTTTAGTCATGAGTGTAACACACTGGGAAACTGGCTATGATCAAATTACATTAGGTGGGCTAATAAACTGGTACTGCATCAAACAAAAGCAAAAATCTATTTAAAAACAGGTCAAATGAATAAAGAAATTTTAAAAATCAAAAAAAATAATTACTGAGTGGTTAAATGACTGAATGACTGGATAACAGATCACAAAATCTTTTGACGTCACTTTAGATGTCATCTTTAGACGTCACTGCAAATCTTTTATTGCATTACTATTTTTACCTTATCATGCTCATCAGTGAGATCTGAGAGAGCGAAACCGCATATAGCAGCATAACACTGCACCCACGCACAATGATCACTAATAAATTATTACGGGAAGTTGGTAGATATATAACCAGGCTAATCTGGGACAGCTGAGCTTTCATACTTCTCTCACAGCCACTCTTTTCTCAAGGTCATTCAACTTTAAAACTATCACAGATCAGTTCAGTTGTTTTCCCTGTAGTCTATTTATATCATTTTTCTTTAATCTGAACCATTGGTCACATCTGGAGTAGTGTAATGCTAAATATGCCCAAAAAGCAGTAAATGTGCAAACACTATCTTGAATAATGACAAGGCCCTTTGTTGTCTAACATTGTTTTTCCACTGAACCACTTTCCACCTGTGCAGTACAAACAGAAAACCATTCCATCTGTACCATCATCCAGCAAAGGTTTCCATAAATACTGTGATGCTGTATGACCACATAATGTCCACTATCGGTGTTCCAGACATAGTTCAGAGGTCTGGATAGGTCTCTGGTCAGGACTACTCTGAACACTTTGAATGGAGGTCCAGGTCCAGGAATGATCACATTTATAGCATTCACATGAATACATGAATCACATGAATAGCATCGGTCTTGCTAGGATTGAGCTTCAGGAAGCGAGCTGTCATCTGTAAAGAGATGTCAGCCAGAGATGCTGTGATATGGCTAGAAAACCTGAGTATTAGTAGGTGGGAAGGAAAGCATTAGTTGGGTGTCATAAGCATAGCAGTGAGAGGAGAAGTCATGAAAGGATATTACATCACCAAGCAGATAAGTGTACAGTGAAAAGACAAGAGGACCCAGCACCAAGCCTTGTGGGACACTGGTGAAGAGCCTGCATGGAGCAGATGTGGACACTCTCCATGTTACCTGATAAGTGGGGATGTCCTGATCAAGTTTTTTTTTTGTCCCAGAGTAATTTAACACTGAGTATCTTCCAAAATAGAGTCTCGATCCGATACTTGTATTTTCCTAGATAATACTGTTATACACTTCAAGTACATTACAGTTATTAAACTCAATCCAATGTATATGCCTGACAACCAAACCAGTGCATTAAGAAAAAAATGCTTGCATCCAAGCTATTCATTAATAATTGATTTTAATTTTTACAAAATAAAGTAAACAAACTAAAGGTTGTCTTCATAAAAAGCTCATATAAATTCCACTTAGTGCAGCATTGCCATAGTAAAACTATAACACTTAAAATGAGTAATATAATCACAGTCCACTTAAAAGTGCTGTAATAGCTTAACATTCACAGTCACAAAAAATAAAAACACAATACTGCTTAGTGCAGCATTATAGTAAAAATAGTATACAATGAACAACAGAAATCTCAATTCCACTTAAAAGTGGTGTAGCAGCT